TATAATCCGCCCAAAGGCAAGGATTCATCGAAGCATTCGAATATGGTAATAGTAGAGGCAGAATTACCAAGCGGTTTCGTTGTCAATGCAGAAGTGCTAAATAGACTTAAGTCAACTCTACCGATTCTCAAGCGCATCGAAACGAAAAACGCTGACACTGTGGCCGTTTTCTATTTTGATCATCTCTCCTCCGAACCAGTTACATTTAAAATTGATGGCTTCCGAGAGCATATTGTTGAGAACCAAAAACCAGCTTCCATTTTGGTTTACGATTATTATGATGATGGTAAGCATTTGTCTGTATAGATTTTGAAGAATCGTGGTGGTTTAAAATTGATTCATTTTTTTCTCTGTTCTGCAGCTTTGAGTGCGCGTGAATTTTACTCTTTGCCGGTTAAGATGGAGGTTGATGCATAAAGATGGTGTGTGAATCACATGAAATTTACCTCAATTTATCTCAAAAACCGCACAAATACTAATTAATCATAATAAAACTACAATAGTAGACCAATTTAGGAATTCTTTTTTAGAAAGAATTAATTTTTTGTGTGACAATAATGTCTTACAGCTCATGCTTTTTACAAATGTTAAACATTAAAAATTAAAAAAAAATAATGTCTTTATAGAATATATAATATAATATATTGTTATACGTTTTGTGATTTTATTTGTTTAAATTGTCACTTTCAATAAAAGAACCACCAAACCAAAATAGTTATGCTTCTTCCTTATAACAAACAAACAAACACCGAAAATAAACATTATTAAGGGTTGGATCGAAGTAACCGTAAATCGCCGTAAATTAATAGAAGAACATTTGAAATCTTATTGTGAATGTGTTCGTGAACTTTCGCTTCTATGCTTATGCTTCTATTTCGCTTCTTATATACCAACATAATTTAAGCGGCACTCGCGAAAAAAAATTGTGAACTGCGATATGACTTTGTAAGGTTTACTACAAATGAATGGGGTAGAATAAAAACTACTTCTCGAAAAATGTTTAAACACGAAATCTAAAAAAACTTTCAATGAAAAGTGAACCAATTTTTTTTGTCCAATTGAAGTGAACCAAAAATATTTTGTTCAATAAAAGTGAACCTAAAAAACATTCGATTTAGCGTATTTCACACAAAATAAACCGAGTGAATTTTTTTGGTTCACTTTTATTGAACCAAATTTTTTGGTTCACTTCAATTGGACAAAAAAAATTGGTTCACTTTTTATTGAAATTTTTTTAGGTTTCGTTTTCAAATACCAATTTTTCGAGAAGTAGTTTTTATAACCCCATTCAAATATTCCTTCAAAAACAACTTGCACGTATACAACTCACACCAATATTCCTATATATTTTAACACGTACAAGTTGTCCATAGATTTTATTCATGTGCGTTGTTTGGATGAGTGTGATTGAATAATGTTTTGAAATACCAAATACCAAAATACAAAACATTCATTGCGACGTAATATCCATTCAGTATAATTTCATCTTCAACACAGAACGTTGGTTGCGTCGCCGATTTAACGCAGAGTACATATAATACGAAACAAAACATAGATCAGTTTAAATCAAAAAAGGGGTGTTGGGTGCCGATTATTTTACTATTAAAACGAAAAATATTCATTATATTTACGTTGTATGTATTTTTATTTAAAAACAAAGAAAAATCACATTTTTGTCGATCAATTTATTTTAGTGAAATTTGACTTAAAATAACAACAATTTCATCATAACGCGTAACGTTGAATTGAATTGTTGACCGGTCACCGGTGTGTTCAAGTTTTTCAAGTTGTCGAAGTTAAAATAAAAATCCGGGAGAAAAATAAATATCTGAACAATGGCTAAACAATTCACGTTTGGTGGATATGATCAACAGATGCCATGCGATCTACGAAAGTTTCAAAATTGTCCCGACGATCGTATCGCAATTATAAAATATTACTACACTATTATTGCATCGAAAAAGATTCGTGGAAATTCGAATTACGCTCTTAATTTAAGCATTCATGATACAAAATGTGACTTTGATGAGCCAGTTGTGGTCCGCGTATCAATCGAAGATGGAAATGATAGAAATGGCTATAAAATTCATCGTGATGTTACAATCAAAGCAAAAACAACCGAAATTGTTTCGATTCCAATTGGTGATCTGTCACCCGAAGCAGACTGTAAACTCGTTGTGATAGGTATTACTGGTGTTACTATGCGACACGAAGTAGAGCTGGATCTTCAAACTCAAACACATACAATTCTCATTCAAACGGACAAAGCCATTTACAAACCAAATGACTGCATCAAATTCCGAGTATTGGTTCTTAATTCAGAGCTAAAGGCAGCCACAATCGATCAAAATGAACTGATTATTTCATTCGATGTAAGTGTTCAGTGTGTATTAGTTTTAGAATTTTCACTTTCGAGCTATATATTCTATGAGAAAAAATGTATATGTACGAAAATGGTGATAAAGACTGTTTGCGAAAAAAAAAATATTCAGTTGATACAGCAATTATTAACTAAGGCAAAAATGAATAAGAATGACGTGATATAGCCACAAAAATGATTATAATTTTCAAAATTCAACAGGCTGAAATTTTTACTGCGAAATATCTAGTGTTAAAAACATATTACGAAACACCCAGTACAAATCCGTCGAACAAGTCGACGACAGCGATTTGACAGGTGGACCACGCGAGAAACTATCAATCCCTATTAACAAAACTACACTTGACAGTTATTGTATTGAATTTTGTACGGGATTTATTTATTATATAAATATAAAAAAAACAATGTGAAATGTGAATAAAAAAGATAAAAAATTAATATCGTGACGAACTATGTAATAAAATAAATATTATAATTCAATTACTCAGCGGCTGTATTTTTTATCTTTTTTGTTCACATTCACATTCTTTTTATATATTTCTAAATAAATAAGTCTCAAACAAAATGTAATACAATAATTAATATATAACGTGCTTGACAGCAGATTTTGATAGGGACAACTAATGACATTTGTGATTTGACATCTCGGCCACGGTTTGGCCTGTCTGTTACGAAAGTTGAAATTGAGGAGTACACCCAAAATACTTGCCATATGAGAGTAATATATCTTCCGGATATGTGTAACAAGCATAATGCTACAGGCGACTACACAATCGGCCGTATTCATGTTGCTTCTGATACTAATATTTGGCTGAATATATTGCACCAAGATCCCTTGAGTTCGTTGTTGCCTGAAGAAAATTTCAATCATATTAATAGCATTGTGTTATAGCAATAAAAATCTATAAGTAATTTGTGATAATTAACATTTACATTCACGCAATAAGGATCCCTGCCGCAATATTATGAAAAAATGGAATGGCGTGAACACAATGCATGGTGTATTTTCGGGCGAATTTCAACTGTCAGACGTACCAAATTTCGGTGAATGGAAAATTACAGCTGCCGTTGGCGATCAGGTTAGTTCGATTTTTTTAGAAATTAGTTTATAGACATTTTGACAATGAGCTAGTCGACGCAGAAATCATGGAACGAAGCTAAGACAACAGCCAGCAATCGTTGAAGATGGAAATCCTTATCTGAGGCCCTATACTTTAACTCCACAAGGAGTTAAAGGACAAAAAAAATCATTTGTGGTACCAATCTCGAATTAGTCTTAGTCACATAACGAATGATTTGATTCCTTATTCGCCGAATAAGGTACGAATGCAATGAGAGGAATCAGCAACATAAACAATAAAATGAATTAAAAGGCAGTGATGCAAACCGGTTTGTCATTGTTTCTCATACCGATTTCGGATGGAACAAGCGGAACGTTCCGAAATGGTTTGTATGGCGAACATACATTCACGCTATGTATACGTGAATATCGATGCTTTGAATGTATGAGTGTACAACGTTGCTGCTATGCACAAAGTACAGCGCATTGCAGACCATTTTTCGAACGTTCCGATTGCTTCGGTTTTGTTTCAAGTGAAATCCGTATCGCTGAAGTGTTATTATTTGCTTTTATGTTTCTTTAACCTTTACTTTAAATATAAAAAATGAGGTAAATCTTCTAGAAAAAGCTTAACTCATATAAAACCATTCGATCTCCATCTCTATAGATAAAAATAGCCGTAATTGAAGTGGCCGAATATGTTTTGCCCAAATTTGAGGCAATTATTGATTCGTCTGATAATTTTACAGTTGAAGATGAGAAGGTTCGTGCAGTGATCCGGACTAAATATACTCATGGCAAACCGTTAAGAGGATTGGCTACAGTCATAATCACCGAAGATGATCCGAACAGAGCTTTTGGCTTTTTCGAATTACAATCGAAAAAGAAGAAATCGAATGATGATGATAATTATTTGATGAAAAAATCTTTCAATATCGATGGCAAAGAAACAATTGAGGTTGACATTAAAAAAGAATTGAAATTTGACATAAAGTGGTCTGATGTGAAAAATTACAAAATCAAAGTTGAAGTGACTGAAGGCCTAACGGGACTGACACAAACAGCCGATAAAACGATCAAAGTCCACAGGGATACCTATAAAATCACCAGTAATCTTAAAAATCGACCACAACGCGATGCTCCCTGCGACATTAAGGTATGTGCTAATGTCAAATTAAAATGTTAATATTTTTAAATCGTTTTTTTTTTAATTTCGTGTATTGAATGTATAGATTTCTGTGCGAAAAAATAATGGCACGACGCTCACGTTCCTCGATCCAAAGAAAAAAAAGATCAAAGTGTTCATAGAACATATTCAAATTCATGAATTTCCCCTGAATACGTTGTGGAACAAAAATATAATAGAAAGCATTTATGAATTGGATGAGAGCGGTGATGCTAATTTTACGGTGGATGTTGGTAAGAATGATATTGAATTTTCATTGAAGGTAAAGACATCAATTTTCCGTCGCACATTTCTTCCTTTTAATTTTTTTTTTCATTTCTTTAATCATACATTTTTGATATCTATTTAGGTGAAATATTGCGGTCAAGAAACAAATATGGGAATGTTCCATGTTGATACATCAGTCACGGTAGCTCCACGCATTACTTTGCAAGCGAAAGTCTTAACGCCAAAGTAAGTTGAAATATTTAAAAATGTGGTTTTCGATTGATGAATATCCTCTCTGTTTGAATCATTTGCTTAGCTGCTCCATCAATAAATCAATCGAAATCGAGGTCATCTCACACTATCCCCTTCCATCATATACTTATCTGATCGTTTGTCATGGGAAAATCATCGAAACGAATACCTTCGTATCTTTCTTGGCTGACCCAGTTGACACTGAATATAGACATCGATTCACAATCATGCCCACTTTTGATTATGCACCACAGGCTCAAATTATCGTTTACTGTGTGAGAGATCGCGAAATTGTCACGAGCACTGTAACACTTGACCTGCACGACGATTTAAAAAATTACATTGAATTAGATGTTGCAAATACGGCTAAGCCTGGCGAAATCGTTGATATTAATGTAAAAAGTAATCCACATTCATATATCGGTTTGCTTGGCATCGATAAGAGTGTAATGATTTTACGTGGTGGAAATGATTTGACACATGATGAAATCTGGAAGGAATTGAAAATATCTCGTTCAAAGGTTAAACGACGAAGATACAATTCAACAAGACATTGGCCTCATTCCGGTGCATTGCAAGATTTTGAAGTAAGCAGACAATATTTTTTATCTTTCTTGTGTTTATCTTTATTTAATTAATAAAAATATTTTTGTGTTTCTTTTCAAAGAGAGCAAATCTAATCACGCTTACAAATACGATTGAACCGACCCAAAACATATATGAATATATGCCAATGAGTGCTACAGTAAGTGCCGGAGCGGAATGTTACGGAAATTTTATAGAAAAGAGTCACATGAAACCAATTATTCGCAATGATTTTCCAGAAACGTGGGTTTGGGATTCGATTACGGACAAAAGGTATTTTTTATTTAGCAATATTTTTTCTAAGCTTTGGCGCTTTTCAAAAGTATTTAACTTGTGATACTTTATAAACATCGATTTCAGTTTCAATGGGTCGCTAAATCTCAAGCGAAAAGTTCCTGATTCTTTAACAACGTGGGTGTTAAGCGGTTTTTCAATCTGTCCAATCAATGGTTTGGCATTAACGAAAAAACCATCGGAACTATGTGTTCAACAGCCCTTCCATGTTTCGCTTAATTTACCATTTTCAGTGAAGCGTGGTGAAGTTCTAACGGTTCCGTGCTCAATTTTCAATTATTTACCAAATCAAATTGAAACCGAAATCATTTTCGAAAATGAGCACAATGAATTTGAGTTTGTGGATGCAAGTGTCGATGATAAAATCTATCCAGAAATTAGAAAACAAACATCTCGCAAAAAGAAACTGACCATTCTTTCTGATGATGCGATGAACGCATTCTTCACCATTCGTCCGACCAAAGTTGGTGTGATTTCGTTGAAAGTGTCAGCCATATCTGAAACAGCAAGTGATTGCCTGATCAAGACACTGAATGTTGAGTGTGAGGGTGTGCCACAATTCGTGAATAAGGCCGTATTTGTGGATTTACGTGAAAAATCTCAAATCGAACCAATCGATGTGGCAATCGAAATTCCAAAAACTGCACTGCCCGATTCAACGCGCATTGAAATCACTTGTGTGGGCGATTTACTTGGTGGCACCATCAAGAACTTACAATCACTGATACGCATGCCGTTTGGCTGTGGCGAACAAAATATGTTAGTTTTGGTGCCGAACATTGTTGTTTTGAATTATCTAAAAAACACGCTCCAACTAAACGCCGAGATCGAAGCAAAAGCAAAAAAATATATGGAAATTGGATATCAACGAGAATTGAGCTACAAACACAAAGACGGTTCATTCAGCGCCTTTGGAGATTCGGATGAAAGTGGCAGCACGTGGCTCACAGCGTTTGTAGCCAGATCTTTCCGACAAGCAGCTGAACACATTACCATTCAAGATGATATTATTGACGAGGCGCTGAAATGGTTGAGTGAAGCACAATCTGAAGACGGTAGCTTTGCAGAGAAAGGAAGCATTTGCCATAAGGAAATGCAGGCTGGATCTTCCAATGGTGTTGCACTAACAGCCTATGTTTTGACAGCATTTTTGGTGAACAAGGTTTGTGTCCCAACATAATTTACTGTATAGCTTGGGAATAATAATATATTGCTCATTTTTTTCTTACATTTTAGAGTTCAAACAATAATTTTGAGAAAACAATCGAAAAAGCAATCGACAATATAATCAAGTCGATTAAGAACTGTTCAGATGTATACGCATTGGCTGTATCGGCGTATGCTTTGGAATTGGCTGGTCATGATTCCAAGAAGGATGTGTTGGTAGCTCTGAAGCAACTGGTTAAATCCAACGGTAAATATCACTTTACACTTGAATTTTTTTTTTACATGTTTTGCATTCTAAATGTTCTTCTATTTTACAATCAGAGAACTATAAATGGTGGGATAAATCGATTGAAATCAAAGATTGGTATCGCGATTCAAAAACACTAAGCGTTGAAATAACTTCATATGCACTACTGACATTGATGTTGAATGATGAAGACGAATGCCTTCCGATTTTGAAATGGTTATTGACTCAACGTAATGACATAGGTGGATTCGAAGGAACGCAAGACACAATTGTAGGCATCGAAGCATTGGCCAAATTCGCTTCAAAAATTGCTACCAAAGACACAGATATGAAAATTACTATTGAAGCACCAAATACCATCAATTTCAATGTCAACAAAGACAATGCATTGACCCTTCAGTCCCAAAAGGTTTGTATCTTTTTTTATTTCAGTCATTTTCTGCTTTTTGGCAATAAATTAAATTTGAAATTTTTTCAATTCCTTCAAATCAGTTGGCTCCAGACGCCGATTCGGTGCGCATAAAGGCGAGTGGCAAAGGATTTGCATTATTGGAAGTTGGATATCGTTATAACATCAATACACCGGAAACCGTAACCGCATTTTCGCTGAAACCAAGTGTTAAACTGCTGGGTGATGATCACATCACTCTTGAAATCAACACCAGTTATAATCCGCCCAAAGGCAAGGATTCATCGAAGCATTCGAATATGGT